CAGTTTGTACTGATACATTTAGGGCAGTTGTACTTACATACGTGTGTATGTATGAAGCATACAATACTTTTTTCAGGGTGTACTATCAAATGCCTTTTAATTATTGACTTTAGGTTGGTTATTTATCATGAATGGACATCAGTTGGAGCAACATTGTAAATGAAATTTCTAACGCCTTATCGAAAGCCAAAGTGGTGTACGCCAATCTAGGCCACTTTTGGTGCCGTTGTGATATTAGTCTGCCCCTTAAAGGTCAGATTTACAACACTTGGCTGTGAGCAGTTCTGCTCTACACCTGTGAAACCTGACCCATCCTGGCTGAAGATGTATGACGACTCTGTGTGCTCGAACATCGTTATCTCCGTAGGATTGCTCATATCCGGTAACAATGCCATGTAAGTAATTCTAAGTTACAACGGCGTATGTTTTGGCATGATGGAGATCGTCATTCAACAAGTGAGCTCATCTGGCTTCATTGGCTTGGACGTGGGTTACACATGTTGTCACAACGGCTTCCGTACCGTTCACTGTTTGCTAAGCCTGGAACTCGATGGAAAAAGCGGAGGTGTGGTCAATATATGACGTGACACCGTGGGATGAAGGATAGTTGTATCGGCTTAGCGTATGTTGTTGCATCACAGTTCCCCGGGTAGGATGAGAGAGATCATGTGACTCAGTGGTTTGAGATGTTATCAGATATGACTCATAGTGGAAACCAGTGGCAGTCATGCTATAGCTTTCTCTCATCTTCTGCTGTTGAAAAGTACTGGGTGTTTTTGTTTTGATTGTATCTTATTGAACCGACCTTGTAATCATTCTATTCTGACTACGTTTTTCTTTGTATCCACTTCCTTTCGCCTCGTGTCTTTATAATGTTATATTATTTCGTGTGTCGCATTTCTTAGTGCTCTTATTGTACCATGTTTGTGTTTTTATATAATGACAATAATAATAATGACAGTAACATTGGAAATCTGGGAGTACAGGGCAGGTGTTTCATTCTAGTATGGGACTCCTCAAAGGTCCCCACCTATAAGCCCCCACAGAGGATCGAACCCAGGACCTTTAGGTTCCGTGGCCATCACGTCACCATTCTCCCACTGAGTTTGGTATAGTTTTTTGATAAATCACACTATCGGTAATATCTAACCAAATATTTTTAATAAAATAGTATTTGTGCACTTTTTAGCTTCCATGCGCATGTATGCATTTGCTCCCTCGTAATACTAGTTTATATAAGATTTTTAGTGTGACCTCTCTCCCTTTCTCACTCTCTTTATCTCTCTCGATATATATATATATATATATATATATATATATATATATATATATATATATATATATATATATAAACACCTTTGTTAATGTCACCAGCATACTTTATTACCGTGCACTTAATCCTCCTGCATATATTTTTTATCGTGCATTCATGCGCATTTCGCCTGTATCCTTGTATACATCTCCACCCCTCTCCTTTTTATTCCTACTTTTTCATATTACTGGAAGTGTATACAACATAAATGCTTATACTTTGGTGATGTTTCTTTTATTTTGTAAACAAATCTGACTCTCGGTAGTGTGTGAATTACTAACAGATGAAGCAACTAGTTGACTGTCCATCTTAGTTGACATAGAAGTGTTTCTTTTTCATTACGAAGTAGGTTCAGGCTGGAAAAAGGCCTAAGGCGACCAGATTAAAACATGTCATCAGTGTATGAAGTCTTTGACTTTTGGTTTGAGCCATGTATTGCGATGCAGGCTAGCCAGCTGGTGTCCGCGGGACAAGAGGAACCAGTGGTTGGAGACTTACTCTAGGTGATGTGGCTCAGAATAATCGATGTCAGTGGTGCAGGTGTATACATATACACACATTATCCTCAATCTTAACGCCATATTGAATCTCACCATTTCCTCGTTCTTTCTTCTCTCTTCTCATACTTTATATTTCGTTTGACTGAGTTTTCTTATCTTCACCTTCCACTTCACTCCTTTTTTACTTGGTGTAGTGATATGAGCTGTGGCAAGTTGGACCGTTACGCAGTAATGCCTGATCCTATGTTGATTTGGATGGATGACTACGCTGATAATAAACCTGATTCAGTTGAACAGGGATACTTGAGTTGAGTAGCTAGTAGTTGATAACCGAAATTGAATAACCATCTAATGCACATTTGTGGCATGCTTCGAGACGGAGTTCCCAAAGTTCTAATGCGAAGCTATGACAAGTGAGGGTCACTAGGTTGTATAATTTGTCTAATGAAGCATGCTACCTGCTGTTGGTATTCTGGTACTTTCTTGTTTAAATGATAGGCGGTCACTAGTTCAAAGACTACTGTATTTTTAATAGTTTTGTTCATAGTTGGACGTTTCTATTCCCAGCTTACCCATTAGCGTATTTTTAATTGTCATTTTGACTGTTTGAGATAGCCTTGATTTGGTAAACTAGTATTTATACTGGGTGATGGTTAAAAGTGAGATGAAAATTTGGACTGCACCTGGATTCGAACCAGTGACCATCGAGTTTTCGGTGGTCTACCAACTGAGCTAATTCACATTAACAACGTATCTCACATTGATTTTACCTATCTCCGGTGTGTGTTATATGTATTACACGTGTTTTATAGTCAATAGCTGGTAAATACACAAGCGTTCATCTACCACCCCCTATAAATACTTGCTTTTTGAAAATATTTCCTCAACAAACCTAAAATGATAGTAGTCAGTAGACTACAATTTTTCCAGCTTGAAGAACGATTAAACTTCACGAACAAGTGATAAGTTAAATCAACCCGTACACGGTAGCTGTTATTGTCATCATGCATTGGTCTCAGTTTTTAGGAATTCCATAATACATAGTACATACAATTGTTTTTATATCATACCGTCATTGGTTGGACCGAATTGATCAGTCTCTATTGGCATATGGGATCCTGTGCGGATGCCTCAATATTACCTGTGCTCTTATGATAGTAATGATGGATAGTGGCTAGCAGTGGAATCCAGGATGCGCATTTCGTCCTATTTGGGACTCGTCAACTGGAAGTACCTGCTTCCCAGTGAGTGATGTTGTTCCCACCGGGATTCGGACTCGGGAGCGATCACTTCAAATGAGAGAGCATTATCCACTACACCACCGATCCATGGTAACGATGGGTATAGCTTTTAGTATACATAATTATTTTTATATCATACCGTCGTTGATTTGGACCGAATACAGTTCTATCAGATTAAACATTATGAATCCCAGTTTAAGTGAGTTCGTTATTAGAAGTGGTGTCAGCCCTGGTTGGTAACTGACTGACAAAATCTCTGCGCAAATACAAAACTTACTTGGCTTTCACCATCTATGGCAGCTATGCACTGATGAAGTCAGTCACGTCTAATAATTTATGGTAAAGTTATATATGCTCGATATACTAAGTTATATGTAGGTTAGTTAAGTAGACGTTTTTGTTAAATAAACTGGGATGAGTGAGGTCTATTGTGTTTGTCAAGTGGGTTTAAAGTGCAGGATTGTGCATATTATCCGTTTCACTTAGTCACTAAAACCGTTTTAAGGAAGAGTCATCTCGTAACCAATGCGTATGATGAGTTAAAGTTAGTTGAGGCTGTGATGATAAGTATTTTATATCCACCCTTTCACTTAAAAATAATTTGAGTGTGTTAGTTGATTGAAGGCAATTGGCAGAAAACTCTCGACACCTAGGTTTCGTTCTTGCTGGCACTCGTCAGAAGGGTATATCTGGAGCCTCGATCAAACTGATATCCACTATGAGGTTCAAATCCGTTTCACTTGATTGTCCTAGATAGTTGAATTAATTAGTTCAATATTGACTGATAATCTGAAATAACTGAGATGTCTGTAGCATCTTGATCCTTCTGGCTTCTAGACACAAAAAAGCGTATAGGTCAGAGGAAAAATCAGTATAGGACCTTGAACGTTAATGTTTCAGTCCAAATTAGCACAGAGTTGATCGCCTCCATTACAACACCCCATCATACTGAATGAGTTATCTAATTTTTGTGATCAGTTTTCTAACCTCTCAGTCTATCAATTTCTGTTATCCTTTTCATCAAGCAAAATATTTTAAAAAAACACAGTAGAAACACCGTTTAGTTTTATCTCTGTTCTCAGTTTATCGATTACTACTAAGCGTAATTAATCTCAGCTTTCCTCGTGTGCTTGTGAAGGTTTGTTAACATATTAATTTTTCTTGTTGCTTATAGTTGTTACCGTATAAGAAATGTGCATATTTCATGGAAGTATATCATTTAGTAGATTGTTTAAGCTTGTATAAACTCTGAATTGTGTAAACATTTGATGTTAGTATATAATATAATTTTTTATTACGCCTAATATATAATGATGGGAAAATTAATGAAACAATTTTTTTATTGGTGATTCACATGTTAATTGAACGAAAGATAGTTAGGTATTGTTTCTAATGAAATTGAGAAATTATAGTCTACTTGGGGGCTAGTAATGAAATCCAGGACGTGCGTTTCTTCTTGCTTGAGACTCGTCAGCTGAATGTGCCTGCTCCCCAGCAAGTGATGTTGTTCCCACTGAAACACGAACCCAGTACCCACTGTTTTAAACGCCATAGCGTTCTCCACTAGGTCACTAGTATACGACAACCACCTCTTATGCAACGGGTATCGGTCTTTACTTATTGATACTTGCAAGTTTTCGGTATCAATAAACAACGACTGATACAGTTGCACAGGAGGTGGCCTAGTAGGTAACGCTTTGAGGTGTGAAGTGATGTGTACTGAGTCCTAATCTCCGTGGGAACAACATCACTCACTGGACTGCAGTCACATTCAGCTGACGATTCCAAAGTAGGGCGAAACATAAGTCCTGAATTCTTCTGCTAGCCTCCAAGTAGACTACAACATAATAAATAACCCGATAGTTTATTCATTATACCTATTGTTCTTTGCCCACCTTAAGAATATTCAATGTTATTTTGAAGAGCCTGTTTTTTTCTAACTTGTAGAAGAATCTGCACAAGATACTACCTCTCAATACAATGGCGTGAGGCGAACAAGTGGTATCTCTTGGCTGAAACAGAGGTTAGTTTTGATACACTATGCTTTCCTTCTTTTTCTTCGTTAATCACTTGTATGGAATATGGAAGTATTATTTGTCCCTTGGGTTCCTAGCGGAACATAGGGCTTCAGTAGCATGTCTCCATTTCACTCTCTCCTCTACAGTCTTGCCAACCTGGCTCCACCAATGCCCACAAGCTTTCATTTATTCCTCACATCATCTACGACATGTCACCCTCACCTCGGACGCCCAACTCATCGTTTCCCATTTGGATTCCACTCGATGGCCTTGACTGGCTTGGCGAGTGATATCCCTAATCGACCTTCTCAATGTATGCCCAATCCAATCCATCTCCAATTTCTTCTGCTGCATATTTGTTAGGTGATGGGTTGTTGGTTGGTTCGTTGCCAGCCAGCCAGCCACAGTTCCTGGTTGCTTATTCTTTCTGACCATCTGGTCTTCAGCATCGGGCGAGCGTAGGCGCAGCTGTTGATTATGTATGTCTGTAGTTTGTTGGAAATGCTTTTCGTAACGTACCAAGTCTCTCAACCACCACATGGAAGCACTGACTTGACTGAATTAGTGTTGAAAATCCGGATGTTGTTCACGCTTCATGCTGAGTGGAGTAGATCTCCAGACTCATTTCAGGGTAATGAAGACCTGTCTTGTTGCCTTTCCGGTCCTGGTTTTGACGTCCTCATCTTTGCCTTTGTCACCTGTAGTTGAAACGATGCTATCTTGCCTAGGTCTAGGTAGGTGAAAGAGACTACTACCTTTAGGTTTACACACTTGATGGTGACTGATGCTTGTTGTTGTTGTTGTTGTTGGTTGGATGTCTTCATCTGTCACCTCTGTTTAGTCTACTGTAATATGGAATAGTAGAAGCGATATGTGCATAAGTCTTCAGTCAGCTCTGTTCTTAGGTATTGAGTAGACTGTGTAAATCTGTGTTGAAGCTTACAATACCACCTGTCTGATCGAACTTCCAAATCTTAAGTTTGAGCCATTGTCTACATCAATTATCCACGGTTGTATAATGATGATCATTTTGAGTGTAATATTTTCTACCGACGGATATATTTCTTACTCTGGTGGTTATATAATTATAAATTATCTTACTGATTGATTACTGTCTACGTGTGTTTCTTGCTTCGTTCTTTTCTCTGATTGATTTTGTTTGATTCGTTAAAAAAAGCTAATTAACATGTGCTCCAGTCTACTGAAGAAAAACAAATAAGAAACCCTGATGAGTTTGCAGGATTGTGGAGAATCGTAGAAAATCTAAAAGTTCTGAACAGCTTTTTCGTCCTAGTAGGAAATTCCACAGCAGCGAGCATCTGCGATGACGCCAATGATCTTATTTAGGACCATCACTTCTCATGGTGAGCACATCAGCATTGAGTCATTGGGCTGGAGTCCGGAATCCAGTGGTTTGCATTTTTCTACTTCTCCTAGATTCATAATATAGTGCGGTCATCATCCAATGCTGTCGGCGAGTATTTGTTCTCCCACTCAACGTGGTTGTGCGCCCCACTGCTGCATTGTCACTCTTAATCATAACATCTAATATCATTGAGGAATGAATCTTACTCGTCCTGTATGTTTTTTGCCGGAAGGCTCATGATTCCCCATACCCATTCCCAAGCTATAATAATTCTTGTTCGTTTTCCCATCACCCGTACTAACCTAAGGTATCTAGTCACTATTTTGTTAGCACTGGTACTAACCTACTTGGCACTAGGCCTTAACTGTCCTGATATTGTCTTATGTTTATTTATCTGTTTTACAATGAATGTAAGCGTAAAACGTGGGCACTCGGGAAGAATGTAGTTCAGTTATAATTTTGGAGGCTTCTGAAGATTCTATTGATTTCATGTTGGTATTCATCATGGACTGATATCAACTGGAGAAACGTTAGAATTTCTGGAACACCTAAAATGAGACTCTTCAGCAGCTCACACCCACAACCCTGCCTGGCACCGAATTCAATACCTTCAGGTTCCGTGGCCAGCAAATTAGTCGGAATCTAGTGGTTCACTATATAGCGTGACCTCTATCCAATACTGCTGTTTAATATCTGTCCTCATGCTCGACTTGGTTGACCGCACTATTCATGACTTCTCATTGAAACCTGTCCCGAGTTTCCTATCTTTCCCTAACTGACGTCGGTCCATGATGAATACCAACTTTCAATTCAATTTCATTTGGTTTATAAGATATATCACCACATTGTGAAACAATATTATTCAGTGGATTACGTTTTTGACACAGTATATTGCCCTTAGGTTTATATCCGCAGGCTGCTGGTTCAAATCTAGCCTCAATCCAGATTTTCATTTCACCTTCAACTATTACACAATAGCAACAATACAAGGTCTCCCAAACCATAGCTATCTCAGGTAGTCAAACTCTTGCTAAGACAACATCACAACTTTGAGACATGATTTTTAAAGTTCTAATTTTCTTGCCTTCTTTGTGATAGGTGTAGTTGGATTTTCCATATGTCCGAAACGGGTGGGGCTAAAAGTTATCCCTAGGTGTTGTAGTGTTCTGGTTAAAAATACATATTTTCTGTGTCTTGTAAGCATATGTTTTCAAGTGGAAACTGCAATCATAAATCCTTTTTGCTGCAACTTGAAGGCTGAATTAACTTTCATTTGTGAGCATCATTCTTCATAAATAAATGTACTTACATCCCAACTAGGAGGTGAAAGTGTAACCCCAATACTTTACACATGAATAAACGGAATGAAATATGACTCAATGATTGAGAACGTTCTAGAAACTATAATGTAGGTAAAATATATACTGCTTTATATACTGCTGTATACTGCTTTCAGAAAATACACGAATTTGCGCATGGAACGCTATATCCTATAACAAGCGCGATAAAACCTGGGGATAACTTTAAGTCTCATCCATCCGAAACAGGACCTGGGTTATTATTCCTGTTGCATGTGTTTAGTGTTATTTCGGGCATCTCTAAAGTCCATCCTAGCAACAATCGAAATGATCAATTAAGCTTCTCGATTTCGGTTGGAAAGGCAGATTTTCATAAAATGGAAATGTCTAATTGGTTATTTTCAGTGGTTGCTAGGGTTGGTGTCTTTAAAGTCACTGCACTAAGTTAGGTTTAAGGGTTGTCACTCTGTTGGACCGTATTGTGTATATGTATGTGTATTTGCATGCTTCTTTGTTTATCGTATCAACTCCACGTACAAGTGACTTTAAAGGCCACCCCAGCAACTACCGTGACGACTCGTTAGCTTTTTTTATTTTATGAAAATCTGTTTTTCTAGTCGAAATGAAGAAACGTGATTGGCTATTTCGAACGTTATTAGGGTGGCGTTTAAAATCGCCCTCAAATTCATGATTTAGCATTTGTTCTAGATATGTGAAAAATCCTACTATATGTATCACAAAGCAGGTGATAAAATTAGAACATTATGAACCATGTCTCAAAGTTGTGAAGTTGTCTCGATATGCCTATGCACAATAAATTGTGTATGAAACGTAATCCACTAGATGATACTATTTCACTGTTTTATACATCTAATCGACCGACTAAAATGTAGCTCCAACATATTTCTTGATTGACGTCAGTTGTTTTCATAAACTTGGCGAATAGAACTCTGATGATAACATGCTCAATGTGCTTTTTATATGATGTAAAAAAAGGTGTGATGTATCAGTACTTGGATAGTAGGGATGGATCACATCAAATTTATGCCTAACTAGATAACATCATTCACTGTTGATCTGAATTGTAAGGAGAAGAATAAAATTTCTGATTGTCAATAATATGGTTGAAGCTCACACGGAGCGTTTTTAAAGAAAGAAAAAACTGTTCTCTTTGAATTCTGAACATCTGTTTATTTATTTATGTGTAGCCCTGTTTACACACATTATCTACGAAGGTATGATAAACAGAGAAGAATAAGTGTATGTTTGTTGATGTGGGTGAAACGATATTGTTTGAAACTCTTATGTAATGTATTCAGTTGGGAGCGTATATGAAGAAGAAAGTGAATCGGTTAACAACATTTCATTTTCTTGGGAAGTCGAATCAGCCATGATAGTTTTCAGTGTCCGATGAAATTTTGCCACTCATACAAAAGGCTTGAGTATCTTTTACGAACTTACAAGGATGAGATATCTACAAAGAGCGGAGTGTACTACGTGTTGGTGCCTATGAAACATGAGAAAGTTCCAGGTACTCAACTGCCATTATCTTTACATCACCGCCTGCGCAACGTTGATTCACCATGAAACGAATAAAGAGATTATATATAAAATGTTAGGTAAAAAAGGTAGGTTAGTTGGTGAGGCCATGAACCCTTTTTTTTACTGAAGTATTTTGGACGTATGTCACCGTCTGTCCTGATACACTATGTTTACCAATTTAGGAGAAATTTGGAAAAAGGTTTTGTACATAGTCACTGAAATTTGGCATCAATTCATGAAGTTTCAGATTTTTGGTCTAAGTTATGTATGTAAATGTAGGTTTCCTAGTTGGAGTGGATGAAACAACTGAAATCGGTGGATAGAGTGCCTAGGCGTTATAGATTAAGATATCTCCTTCCCTTATTTCATTACTTTTTTAATCCTACTTTATTTCCTCTCTATGACCTTCTTCAACTATTGACTACATTGTCCTCTTTTACTGTCACGTATATTGATATTCTGATGTCAGTTGCCAGTAGCCTTGATCGTTACACATTATTATCAGGTCCCATATCAATAGTGACTAACTGCAAACAGAAGAGAAAGTGTACAGACACACACAAATCAACTTACTGATAGCTTCTCGTAGATGTGCTAGTTTTTATACTTATCTATTCGGTTGAATTCACGCTTTCTGAGTGATCTTTTCTTTAACTGTAGAAAACAATGATCGGATATCACTACAAATGCTATTGTCATTCTCATAGTTACTTCAGCATACATTGTTCTATTATTAGATTTCACACAAATGTGTCTGAAAATTGATGAATATGTCGAAAACTTTTTTTTTTAAGGAAAAAACAAAATAAAGATCAAACAATCTGAATTCTTCAATGCTTAAATGTAGTCTCAAATGAATCCTACCTATAGTTTTCATATTTGTAGGCCTAATTGTGCTTAAATGCTTATTTACCTGTCTATCTAACTGTGGATATGTTGTGTAACTAATTTTCGCTTATTTGCATAACACATATAGGGAATAAAAAATGTATAAGATTTGAATTGTATAAAGCTACTAACAGGAAGTATCGAAATACAACTTGACCTTATTGGGTCGCAGCGCAACTTGTTACACCTCAAATACACATACCAAAGTATAAATAACTGAAACAAAAGGTAAGGAATAGAAAGTTGCGAAAACTCCGAAGGATACAAAGACTGAAATGTCATATAATTATTTAAATGAAGACAAAATGTGGATGTATCTGCCGTATTGTAATCGTTTCTCAGTTATATGAATCATCTGAAGTATTTTATCATTGTTTCATAGACCTGTCAGCTAGGCAGCTGATATTTTTCAATACTATTCAAATGTGAAGCAATTTTTCTGTTCACAAGTGTATTCACCTTGCAATAGTTTCTTTCTTATTCCAGTTGTAGTTTGTCCATTCTCCTGTTCTTACTCATTTTTCTGTCACTTGATATGCTAGCAAAATTGAATATGATACTTACTGTATGGAACTGTTGACTTGATTGTCAGTCAATGCATTCATACAGCAAATAAACATCATTTTCTTCAATTGATCTAAATGTAATCTCAATCGGATTCGTAGTCGATGTTTTGTAAATAGATTCCTTACATCATCAGTCTGCTAACTACTTCATCGCTAATCTAATTTCAAGACTGAAATCATGCTCGATATATTGTTCTTACTATACATTCATTCGATTATTTATAAAAAGCAACAAACTGAACGAAAAATATTCTTTTCAATAAATTCTTCTCAGATTCTACAATTTGTACAGAGTAAAAACAAGCCATGTTATGGACAGTTACATTTCCAAAGTGGAGTGAGATATAGGGATTGTAAGGAAATCGATTTATCTCTCTTAAATTAGTCAATATTAGAATGATATGATGGTGAACAAAAAGATAAGGAATAAGATGGCAGAAATGGCCTTTAGTTTGCTGAAGGCCGAGGTAGAAGTAACACTTGCACATGTTCTCTCTGAATACAGAGTTCAAGCTTGATTAATCTCATTTTGACAGCTTCCGCTATGTTAAGCAAGCGTTGGAAAGCTACATATGGTGTTATTTTTAAAACACGATGCCTAACATTGAAAGTTTTATTAGTATCTATGTAATGCCGTATGTTGATTCGATGCACTAGGACTGAACTTTTCACCACTTTCACTTTCCCCTTTCCAAATCAAGCCGGTTAATGCTCTCGTATTCAGAGATGTACCTGCCTGATTGTACGCCCTATGTAACTAGTTCCAGTAATAATTTCAATTCACGTGTTATTGTTGTTCTATGTGAGATATTGTTAAATGATAGTATACTGACTAATATATATTACAAATTAGAGACATTTTATCATTCTCTCATAGTTCCACTTTTCCGTTAAATGTAATCTTTACCATAATGACTATATTATTTCAATGTAAGTTGTTGCTTTTCTTTTTTACTACTTCATTCAACAATTTCCATTTATTATTAAAATTTGTTTGTTTGTTTGTTTAGCGCTAGCGCTGGTCCAGCCTCCAATAGACAAGAAAAATCAAGTGTGGATGAGAAGTAAGTGTACCAAAAAAAGTCTTTTAATGTGATGGCTTTTTAAATTTAAAGGTTTTTATCAGGTTTCAGAAATATCAGTCTTTCGGTTATGCATACACTAGTGTCCTGCAGATTATTCGAACCCCTAGATTTTACCATTATCATCATTCCTCATTGATAAACATAGTGTGTGGGATAGTAATAATAATAATAATAATAATAATAATAATAATAATAATAATAATGTTTGCCTTATTCCGAACCATAATTTCCTTTACAGTACAGAATTCTAAGCATGTGACATTCCATGTTTACCTATTGTACAACATTTTTCAAATATGTATTGATAACGGTGTTATTTAGCAATATAAAGAGTCGCAGGATTTTATATTTATGTTGTTGATTAACAAAGGAATCCAAGATGCACGTTCTGTCTTATTTATTTGGATATACCTGCACCTCAGTCAGTGATGTTGTTCCCACTGAGACTCGAACGCAGTACCCATCGCTTCAAATGCCAAAGCGTTATCTGCTAAACCACTGGGACATGATAGCCACCTTTTGTGCAACAAGAATGACAGGATTACTGAAATGTTTAATGACTTCAAGGTCATGATAACTGTTCACTATCATAAAGTTGATTAATAAGAGTTTGTCTGACATGATTCTCTTCACACAATAGATCAGCGAAATAAGGTATCGTTAAATTCTTGTATGTGGTTGTAAGTGCATAATGTTTAATATATATTTGCTTCTTGGCTTTCCTGAGGACAAACATAGAGAAAGATGTGGATGCAGAGAATGCTTGTCATCAGATAAAATATTTTTAGCCAGTCTTTTACAAGACTTCAAATGCTCTATCCACAACCATATATATCAGCATGGTTAGTGGTATACCACTTGTTCTATTAACAGCCTTCAAAATCTTAAGGAATACAGCATAATCTTTTTCTCGTAGGCAAAATACAGGAATTAATGAAGCGTAAGAACAGATGTTGAGTTATACCAGACAGTCAACCGAAGCGTTTTTCTGGAAATCAGTTAGATAAATGATCTTATGTTGTGGTTCTTCAAATTGACTTATGCTCACGACATTGGGTTTTACGGGGGTCGAGAATGTGTATTTAATTATTTCCTGTTACCTATGCATTTCTTCACGTTATTTTATTGTCTGAATAGTGTTTTATTATTCAGGTTGGTACTTACGAAGATGGCGGTTTCGCTTAAATACCACTGTCAAACCTTAAACTTTAAATTCTAACCCATGAAACATGTGTAAAGCATCTTATAGTCATTTTCCTGTGTGTACATCAATAGTGTTCATTTACAAACATGTACCTTCATTAATCATATAGTCTATCACTTAGTTTTATAAACAAATAACAAGCTTAGTTGTTAAAATCTTTGCGGAACTCATGATTAAGAAGCACGACATCCACCATTTTTCTTCTCATTGTAATTGTGAAGTCGCTTGAGGAGTTTCTATTCGTCTACATGTACACTGAATTCGTTTCGTTTATCCAGAAATAAATTAGTAAATGACCGGCGGACCAACAATTTAAAAGAACATATGTTTCACCCTGCTCAAACTCACACCACTATATAAAGCCATATCGAGAGAATTTTCATTTGAGGTAACAACAACCAATAGTGTCCGCCTAGTCTGTCAACTTTCGCCATTCTTCTTTAACTTTCTTATAAATGGCCTGATGGATTTAACCTTAGGCATATACAAATTTATAGCGATTGACAAACTCCCAGAAGCTTGCCTGGTTGACTTGAAGTATATAAATAACATAGGTGTGTTGGACGAAGACGGTGAACACTGTTAGTAGAAATCTTATGTTTGGTATATATTATACACATGTCAAATGTAAGATGATACTTCAAGACTGATCTCAACCAACATCCAGTTTAACGATACGAAGTGAAACTCCGAACTATGAACCCCCTCTCCCATTATATGATTGTTGGAAAATAGCCATCGAAAGCATATAACAGCAGAACTTCAAACGTGTTTGATCACAGATGTCTCCGCAGCATTACTCACATGCTATGCAATCACAGAATTAACAATATCGAGGTCAAGCACACTTGACGAGATTGTGAACCTGTATTGGATAAAGTGACCAATACATCCATTCTTCATATTAATCCATCGTCTAACCCCATTATCTCATTTCAGTTGAAATAGGATTATGTTCGAAGAAAACTGATAGGGTGGGTACTAAACATACAACCTAAGTCATAAAGTCTCACAATTGTTGGTCTACTGTATTTAGGGAAGTTTAGTTCTGCCCAGTTATGGTTTACAAGATATTTCGAATCAGTGGTTAGAGAATTGTGATGACATAACTAACTCAACAGTCTACCAGCATCCGACACGTTGCTGTGTAGACTCAATGTGGTGTGATGTGATGTGATGTGATGTGGTGTGGTGTGGTGTAGTGCTCTAGATTACAAATATTAAAATAAATGAAGAGGAAAATTAAAATTATACTCAACATTACTCATTTCTCTCACTGTCTGTTCGAAGTAGTAATGACCATTGACGTCAGTGATGATGGTGTATAAGGTGTACAACGGACAACATACCGGATACTGATAGTGACTCAAAGTCAGTTTCATTGATGCAGATGTATTCTCTCTCGATCAATTTACAAAACTTAATGAAACACCTTTCGGTTATCCTCCTACTTCTCAAAGATCTTTGTTTACTGTAATATCGATTTCTGCATAAATTACAAATTGCGCGGTCCATGTTGACATTGGCCACATCTGAGTAGTTTGTTAACTGCCTAACTATGGTGTCAACAGTGTTTCCGTTGGAAATTGACCAGACAGATCAGAGTGGTCTAAACACTGCATTTTGACCGTTCGGCTTGTTTAGGGACCAGCTCGGTGATTTATTCTGGTAACTTCAGCTCATCGGGTGGAACTAGTTCAAATCAGTTAAATCTGACTAGCTAGCTGACTCGCATGGACCAGTATACCTAAAATAGAAAGATCAATTTGCAAAGGGTTTACAAATTGCATGGTCTATGTTGACATTTCTCATGGCTGAGTAGTTTTAAAACTACTGCGGTCTTAACCGGGTTTCGATTGTTCAAAGCATCCTGATCTGCTTCCAGAGCGCCAGCTGCTACCTTGACCCTAGGAGCTATGCTGGTGGAACACTTGTTCTCTCATGGTCTGTTTGATCTGGCTAGCGAAATCTATAGAACATAAGTCGTTTCTAAACTAATCATTTTGTTCAGTAATATATTATTTTCTCCAAACTACTCCATATCTCTGTGCAGTTGTAATATGTGACACTTCTGTGTGAAACTCTATCTTGATCTGATTGTCTGTCTTTCTGATGAGTAATTTCTCAATAAATAGACTACCTGATTAGATGTTATTTGGACAGAGGTAATTAACAAGAAACCCTGGACCTAGCTTTTGCGCTTGTTGCCACTTGTTAGCAAGGCGTATCTGTAACCCCGACTGGACTGATGTCTCGTCTGAGAGTCGAACCCACGTCACCCGGTGTTGTAGTCAGCGACGTTACCACCTAGCTATTCGGGCCTTGACTGACCTCCTGCAGGGCTGGATTTGATGCATTCATCAATCACCGGAGGGTAACTAACTTCATTTTGTGTAGTTCTTGGTGGCGTGGGTGCGAATCTCAGGCAGGACATCAGTTCCATCGGGGTCGTGGAGACACGCAATGCTGACGTGTACCAACGAGCACGAAACCTAGGCCCAGGGTTCCCTGCCGATTGCCTTCATCTAACTAAGATCTGTCAAAGTGCATCGTGATGCTGAACTGCTTAGTCTGGTGGCCACATTGCATGGTGACCGATAGGATTCCGTTAACACTTAGAACTAGACAACATGAAGTGGATTACCTTCATGATTTTGTAATCCTCAGTTTGTATGTAGTACAATTCAAGATTGTTTATTAGCCTACACAAATATTCATTTTTACAATCCGACTTAAAGTGCGCATATCAATGAAAATGCATAAAACGTCTGAATAATTAATTAGTTAGTTAAATGAAGTTCATTCATTTACTGATTGTTTTTATTATGCTTCTTTGTTATTGTTGACTTCGATTATGTCTATGCATCGATGTACATGTGTGTGCGTGTGTTTGTATATGTACCATATCTGAAGGTGAAGAGGTAAAAGTGGAGTATAATGAAAAAATGAGATGTTGATAGAAAGATATAGAAAGAGAGGTATCTGAAACGTTGTTATTTATTTTCTAAAGCACATAGTAATCGTGTAGCCTTTAGTTATAAGTTGTATTTTGTGAATAGCTTTTTTCTTCTTCTCTGAAATAGTTTTAAATGTTAGTGGATATATATTCCAACACTCAGTAGTATATCATGCTTGTAATTCCCCTTCGTTATACTGCATCGAATTAATAGACCTCTATTGACATATGGGCTCCAGTGCAGACGCCTGGATATTGCCTGAATGATACCACATCTTGCATTGGTTTGATATCGATTGTACGCTTTTGATAACCATTAAGAGTAATTACGGAACCCGAAGTGAACATGTTTGGTTTTAATGACGTAAGAGGTCATCGCCGTCCAGTTACAGAATCGCTTACTTGTCTTTTAAGCTTCTTGTTTTCATCAGATGTTTGATCCATGTTTATTGTTTAGTGACTGAAACGAATCAGTCTTTTTATTCTAATGCAGAATAATGGTGTTCATCTCTTCACCTGGAATAATCTAGTGACTTGATCGTATAAGCCTGTTTCTACGCCAGTCTGCCTCTGTCACATACCCTGCACAGACTTATTGCAATTGTTAGGAGAGCATGTCATCTTTCCTAGGTCAGTATATAATAGAAAACACCAAAACATCTATATACTCTGAGAAACCTTAAGTTCATATATTCAGCGATTTCATGCATCATTGTATCTATCCTTTTAGAAGTAGATCTCCTTGAACGTGACGAACTTGATGATTAAATGCCCTTAAACAAACTTCATATAATATTCCTAGATAGCTTGAGTAGAACGTGTTTGACTAGTACATCTTATATCAATTTCAACCTTATAAATAGGTGATGAGTATTGCTCACTCGTTTCAATCGATCTTTAGACGTTGAATTAATATTATGCTAACCTAATTACTTACTCTAATACCTTTTCGATATTTTGTATTTTATTTGGGATGTTATCTCCTACTGGTGCTTTGTTTCTGTTCCTATTTAAACCCAGTTAAATTTTCCCACCAAAACATGAAAAGAGCATGTACAACAGATGTATTTTTGTAAGACAATTACAGAGGAGAATAAATACTTTTGCTTTGAACTCACTGAAAGAGAGGAGTATCCTTTAGAGAGTGTATTAACACTATGGCAGCCTCATACTTTACCCATCACGTACAATTATGGCACAGAGCTAACTGTTTCAATTGCTCCTAACCAATAATAGCGTTTAGATGCGGCTACCCGAATCCACCATTCTTCTCCGAGACAGCTCTGAAGGATGTGCGTGCGTGTGGTGGTATAGACCTGCTACCAGATGAAAAAATTTTCAACCTCAAGTATGTAGGTTGTATTGTTTGTCTGTGCAACAACGTACTCACTTCCCACATAACCAGTTAGCAGTCATTATCCTTAAATATGGTATGACTTTCATGCTGTTAGAAGTGCAGTGTACCTACGCCCATCCTTGATGATGAACCGCTGGAAGTTTCTGAAAAGTTTTTGTACCTGAGTAGTAATGTGATTGCTAATGGAGGTGTCCCTGATAATATATGCAACTGCATGTCAAAAGTCAGAGCGTTATGCACTAATTAGAATCCTTTTTGCCTCCACCTTAACGTTTACATTGTTTTGAAAGGTGAAATATGCGTAGCGTCGGTGCGAGCAGATTTGCTCTACGCCTGTGAAAACTGGCTTCTTCGAGCTTAGTATGTCTGAAAAATTTGTGTGTTGCGTCACTATCACCTCCGTAGGATTGCTCGCACTCCATGGAAATACTATATAATTATTTCTGAGGTGAGGAAATGTGTACTTGGGTATCATGAAGATTGTCATTCACTGACTGAATTCATCTTAAAACATTTTGTTTTTGGCTTGGAAATGTGTTATGCACTTCGTCCCAGTGACTCCTACACTGCTTACTCTTCACTTGTCTAGAATGGGTAGGAAGAAGCAGGGAGAGGCGATCAATGAATGACATCGCATTGGGGGACGAAAGTTACTTCTGTTGGTACATCATTTGTAAGTGCCTTGTAATTCCATGGATGCGTTTGAGATCATACAACTGCGTGGCTTGAGACGTTAGCATATATGGGGCGATTATACTGCAGTTTATCTTGCTTATTCTATGATCAGAAAGTAAAAAGAAAGTATTGCGTGCTTCCTTGTATGTATATTTGAGACTGCTCTTTATCTTTTTGCTTCCATTCATTTCCCATCCTTCTGTATCGCGTTGCTGTCTTGGCAGTGTTTTTCTGTTACTTTGCGTATCTCATCTCTTTGTGTTCACGTATTACCAAGTCCATGTTTTTAATATATTGAGTCATAACTCAAGTTTGATGCATATGTGGGGATTTTATTTCAAGATACTATTCATCAGGGACTGAAGTCAGTTGAAGAACCATTGAAAACCTAGGAGCACTAGACATATGTTTCATTCTAGTGTGGGTCTCCCCATCAGTATGCACCCACAACAATACCAAGGGTCGAACTCATGACCTTTAGCTTTCTCAGTGAATGCATTAACCACTCAACCTTTCACTGGTCCTCCAATAGGTATCAATCCGTGATGAATACTACCTTAGAATAAGAACTGTCCAAATTAATAACTGACTAGTTTTTAAAATAGTCTGTTTAAGTATACTGATTGAATTTTGAAGACTGTCAGTGGTATGATTTAAAATAGGCCACAATAGCACAGGTATATATATATATATATATATATATATATATATATATATATATATCATTCTTCCTTTTTCTACTTTTTCTTTTCATCTTTCTTTGAAGTCTGACAACCTAACCTAATGTACTTCTGTGCTGGTTCTATGCTGAGTTGTTTTTCTGATTGGAAACAGTTGTCATAGTTGTGAATAACTTGATCCTATCACGATACTATTTCTTGTTTTGGCTGGTATACTTTTTAAAGTCCTCGTTAAACTGCTAGAAATACAACAACAAATTAATAACTTGATTTATTTATTATCTGATTCATGCATATTTCTTCATTACTAATGTTCTTGATCATGATTAGTATTGTTATTAACATGATTTAGTATGTTTTGTGGTCAGGATGCTCAAGTAAACACTATGTGTACTTCAAAAAAGTACAATCATTTGATTTTTTTTTCAACTTGAAAGTCAACAATTTTTTTCCGTCAGACACAGTTGACCGCTTTGAGTGACATTATCTGCCTCATATTCTCTTTGTTATCCGAGTACTGTATTGTTGGTAATGGTATATTGATAGGTATCTAATAAGATGATTTTGAGGCAGTGAATTTACTAATATCCATCCATCTAGTATATTTTTGATCTCATTAATTTACTTGTTTTATCCATGATAAATATGAACCAACTGGTGTTGAGTTCGAACCCTGCTCCCCTTACCTTACCTGAATACCAGTGATTACATGTTTAATTAACACTAGTCATTGAATACTTTCTGTTACTAGGTTAAAAAGATGATTTAGATGAAGTTGCGAACTCCATCTTGCTTTGTCAACTAGGGTTATCCTAGATGTATTCTAACTACTGAATCGACAAATCCTACAGCATCGTTAGAAATTAGAGATCGCTTTGTTTTTCTTTTGATTATATCCAGCACGTCATTTGTATAACTCCTGTCGTAGTTACACTAATAGTTCTTTGTATTTAATTGTCCATTTACTATTTGTCGCGTGTATTTCAACGTGTGTTAATGTTTTCATACTTAATCTTCTTCAATTCTTCTTAACAAACTTCATAACTCCTTCGCTTTCTCAAACTTACTTGGATTTCTGTTGTGTATTGATACTTGTAACTTCCCGTTGTTCGACCTCTGTTGACAACTGGACTCGTATACAGATATCTCAATACTGCCTAAGTATTCATCATGTTGTAGTTTTCTTCGTGTCGGCTAACGGTGGAGTCCAAAATACACGTTTCATCCTATTTAGGACTCGTTAGCTGAATGTACCTGCACCCCAGTGAGTGATGTTGTTCCCATTGTAACTCAAACGGTTTGGCATTTGAACCGATTTGTCCTGAGTTCGAGTCTTAGTGGGAATAATATTAACCACTTCGACTTACTATTGTTTTCTCACTCTCCCTTATGACTTCGATTTGAGAACTATTCAGCTACTGATTTTTCTCTTTGGTATTAGTCATTCTAATAAATTTTTCCATCTTTTTTCGTATGCAGATCTCGTATTCTCCCACGTATACATGTATCAGACCTACGTGATCGTGGCAATGATACTAATGTAGATGGTCACGAGAAAATCGATGAAAATAATGAAATTGCCGAATCATCTGGTGATCAATTAAGTGTTCGTCGAATTAATACTTTCAGTATGTCGGATAAAGTTCGTCCAGCTGGATCAGATTCACAATCACCTAATCTACAGTGTCCATTGTCCAGGGCACCACCAATATCGAATATACCGAAGTAAGCTTTAACAGTACTTTTGTTAGTCACTGGAGTGATATATGTTGGTGAATATAAAATGTGTGAAAATCATTTCATGTTAATTTTTATTGGTATCTTCTGACTCTGTATCATTTATAAGTAAATCCAATGTAGCCGTACAAGAAAGCTGTCGATGTTTTGATTTCTCATCGATAGTGTTTTTATTCCGACTACTAGATGATAAATATTTCAATTTCTTAGTGAATATCAGTCGCATTGATATCGCCGATATCCATCTTACAGACAAATGTTAACCAACAAGAAAAATTTGCCTAGAACATCTTGTTTTAGTTCATCAAATCATCTTAAGCACTTTCTATAACGATACAGTATATAATAAAATGGTCTTTTTCAGTCGTAGCACAGGAAACTCATATGGTTCTACTGCTCTTTGAGTGTAAAACAGCTTTTTTAAAGCTGTAGTGTGTTGTAAAAATGCTTGTGTTTATATTATATAGTATTTTTTTAATCTCTAGTGTTTATAATACTATTCTTCTCTGTTGTTCCTATGACAACCTTTAATAGGAGTACTTATGGTAATCTTATTCATTCACTCATTTATTCCTCCATAAACAGCTCTATCACTGCTAATACATCTACAACTAGCAATGAAAGTTCTCCTATCAAGCATTCTATTAACAACACTTACGGCATCGGTAGCAGCAGCAGCAACAACAACAACACCAAGTCATCAATACCGTCTAATCATGACACCAATCAACTGAATAATGATAAACCAGTACTCTTTGAACAACCGATGAAATTAAATCAGGCTGTTCCATACACTGAAGAGAATCCGTAAGTTTCCGTGATATTTTTATTATGTATATGAGAGAGTATTTGTTTCAAGCTCTGATTTCATTCTCAGTGTTTCAGTTATCTTTACTTCTTTACTTTGTATTTTTATATACTGAAGTGTGTGTGTGTGTGTATGTGTGCTACGTTATTGTACTCACTATGGATATCCAATACCGGCTAATAGTCATCTTCAATAAATAACTGGACGACTTTTAGAAGCGAACAAAAGTATACAAACCTTGATATTCACACTATCCTTTAACGTGATCGCAAAGAAATTACCTGTAGCCAAAAATTTCACGAATCTTGAAATGCATGATCTCTGTTGAAACCATTCCCACTTGTTTATGTTATTTGCTGTTATTATTAAGTTTTTGACCTACTAACTAGTCAGTGTTTTTTTAATCTTTCCGTAGTCCTCACAATAATGATGAAACTTTGTTTACCATATTCATAGATGAGGAAGTTAAACTAAGCACATCACAGCGCATTGATGATGAGATGTTATGGACATCTGTTACCAGTTCATATTTGAAACTAGAAGATAAATTACATTTCCAACCCTCTCCATTATAGATTGCAGTCCTCTCTTCACTGATAATGTCCATTTTAATTACAGCTCTGGATGGTACAGATTTGAATCTCTTGGTGTAAGCGTCATTTCTGTTTAAAGTAGAAGTACACCATTCTCTTTAGTACGATAGGAGTCATGAAACCTCGATTAAACCTTAGTAGTTGATAGTTGTATTGTGGTGTTTGCTACCTATCGAAATATGTATGAGTAGTATATGGCATAATGTCATTACTTGTGAAAGCAGTTAGAGTTAGCATCCAGTCGGTAGAATTTCTGAAGGAAGAAACAAGAAGTATAGAAAAGAAGAACAGAAGGTGAACAAAGGAGCAAAGGAAACTGAAGAACAATTCATCTCCAGTATAGGATGCAAACATTATTGATGTGACGTATTATTTTACTAATACTGAGTGCAATTTCTCAATAAACAATTTTATCAGTCCTCATCAGTCTTATTTTATACAGTATATGAATCTTTCACGTCACCTAATCCTCAATACACTACCCGCATTCACAAAATCATAACCCCACTATAAGATTCCGAAATCAAATATGGGTTTTGAGGGAGTTGTGGGAATTTGGAAATATGTTCAAGTTGTTATTCATCGTTGACTGACATCATTTAGAGGAACAAAGGAAGCCTGGAAGCATTGGACAGCTGTTTCGTCCTAGTATGGGACTCTCCAACAGTGCTCACCCACGACCTTCAGGTTCTGTGGCCAGCACGTTACCATTGAGGCACTGGGTCAGAATCCAATGGTCCATATTTCCAACTTTTGTTAGCTCAACCGTCATCGTCGAGTAAGTGTCCTCACGACCATCAAGCTTTGCCCCCACCGGTCACGACTTCTCACTGGAACTTCGGGACTACCTCTCGAAGCTAGTCACCAATGAGCACGAGTTCAGTCGAACTTTGAGGAGTCCCATACTAGGACGAAACAGCTGTGCAGTGCTCCCAGGTTTCCTTTGTTCCTCCAACTGATGTCAGTTTACGATGAATAACAACTTGAAATACGGGTTTGTTAAAATTTACTTACTCTATTGTTAAAGTTGGTTTTCCTTATTCTATTCTTTCCTTTAGTACCATCAATCCTAGCAAGTGAGTTTTATAAAACACAAGCATACACATATGCTCATGCCTTTCTTTGTCATTGGAATATAGCTCATTATCAAAACAAAAAAAAGAATTTTTGACTCCCATGTAATACATATGTTAGTATGAATTATTCTTTCATAAACTGCCTACCCTGCGATACTGATTTCATCTGAGTAGATTTGTGGACATCAGTCTAGATATCATCTTCAGTGTTAGAGCTTCCTACTAACTATAACCTAATTCAGTCATTGAACAAGTTGAAATCATTTTAGTTTTTAGTTGTTTTTCTTCTCATTGTTGCTTTACTCATCTATGTATCTGATTTGATTAACGAAAATGAATGAAAGTGATGAAGTTTGTTTGAAACTTAGTTTTTGTTTGTCTGTTTATGTATACTTTTCGCTTTTATTTGATTTCTCTTGCTGTTTAACTAACGATCATGATGCATCGTAAACTTATCACCACTTGCTAACATTTGATCTCCGCTGTTCCATTCACTTATTGATGATAGTACTGGTCAACAATTACTTAATTTAGAAGTAGTATTTATCATGGACTGACATCAGTCGGGGAACCATTGAAAATCTGGGAGCACTGGACAGCTGTTTCGTCCTAGTATTGGGACTCCTCAGCAGTACGCACCCTACTACCCGGCTAGGGATCGAACTCAGGACCTTCGGGTTTCACGGCGAATGCGTTAACCATTCGGATGTGAAGTGGATTCTGACTGAAGACCTTGGTTGACAGCCGCTCTGTGTTGTGAATTGACAGAAGTTGGAAATTGTAAACCATTGGAAACCGACCCAGTGGCTGAATGGCTAACGCGTTCGCCGTGAAACCTGAAGGTCCTGAGTTCGATCCCTACCTGGGTCGTGAGTGCGTACTGCTGAGGAGTTAGTCCATGTTGAATACTACTTCTAAATTAAAAATCCCCATTCATCTCAAAAATAAATTACTTAATTGTCTTATAATACTAAATTCAGTCTTTTTTTTCTTGATGGAAAGGGAAACATTTCAATTGTGAAATATTTTTCTTTGTCTCCCTTTAGAAAAAAATATGTTTACAGGATTTCACTAACAATCTAAGCCTACTTTGACTTATTGACTTTAACTATGCAAGGGATCGACATAAAAGAATTCAGCATACTCATTCTGTTTATTGATTATCATAAATAAAATAGGTGTCAAGAGTGTTAACTTTATCAAGTCAGACAAATAGACAAAATCAACGTAGAACCTTGCACACAATTTCACCGGCTCAACTTGCTACACTTCACAGCAGTATACAAAAGACAGTTGGATAAAAAAAATGAGTGCTATCAAAGTAGACAAAGTTGTGTGACAGAATAAACAATTTGAAGATAACGGTTAGTGCAAATATTCAAGCTTTATAACGCGTTGAAGAGTGGATACATCTGCGTCATGTCACTAAGATTATTCAACCACTGGTTCCTATCGTCTCGGGGAACCCACTCAGGTATTCTACATCTCCCTCACACGGCTGAGACCAAACGTCAGAGACTTAATGTACTGGCCCGGCCACCCACCTTGTCAAATGGTAGCTCTGTTAGAGTATCTATTTTCTCTGCTTTCATTTTAAACCTCCTGTGATTAAGCTACCATACTCAAAGTAGTTTAATGGTCATCTTGAAGGATTTCAACACCAGTGGACATGCAGTCCTTCATCAGTTTAGTAAATAGTGTAGTATCTTGAATCTAGTTGGTGAAACCTCCCAAACAGGAGGCACCAAGCAATAATGCTTAACGCTCTCCATCCTATGTAATTAAAATGAGTCAAGTTTCTCATTTTTTGAAGTTGTAATAACTGTGGTGGTTTAGTGCATTCTCTGAGTGTATCTGCTTTAGAAACTGGCTCTTAAAATATGACGACTGATTTGCCACAGTTTTTCGCATTGTTGGTAATTTTGATGTTCCGTTTGCTTCCTGCTACAGGATATACAATACACAATCATGCCTTCCTCATTTCTGTGATGGTATTTTGCTGTTTAGATTTTATAGTCTGTTGTTTACGTAAGCAGTGGAATACGATGGCATTGCGTATAGATTTTCCCAGGTCTGTATTTGCCATTTGGACTCTGATCGCGGTTGATCAGGTTATAAGTCTATTGGATGTCCTCAAACAAGAAACTCAAACCATTCCAGCTTTTCAATGAATCATCCTGAAACACCTAACTTTAGTTATCATGGAGACCTGTATTCTACAGCTTCTTAAGATGCCATATTGTTTCACTGATATTCCTTTCAATGTAGAAGAACGGAAAATTATCTTTCGTTGATTAATACACCATTACAGCGCAAAAGCGCGTCTTTGTGCTCCTATCGCGGCTGGATTCGAGCAAGCGGTCTCTGGGTTACCGGCTCAGTGCTTTACTAACTGAGTAACGAGACCCAACTGCCGACCAGTTCTGAATTTCACCTCAGTCACCAAGTTGCAACTAGTGGGATTACAATGAACAGATTTTTATGTAAGCTTACAATGGCAGCCGGGAAAACCCTTTGGTGATTGAAGTGAAAATTAGACCTAGTAGGCAGCTGCTTTTCGTAGCTCACTGGATAAAGCAACCAACATGTAACTCAGACGCCATGACCCAGGTTTTCATTTCACTTTCGAGCATCGTCCGTACCGATAATACCAGTCTGCAAAACCACAGTTACCTCAGATAGTCTCAGTGAAGAGCAGATAAGTTTACATGCGTGTGCTGTGTTACCTTTTTTGTTATGCATATCATCTCATAACCTTTTCATTCTCATGCCTGTTGAAGATGAATTTTCAATGTCAACAGATAAATACTCTATAAGGAAATGACGATCAGTTTTGATTTAATCGATTCGTACTCACGCATCTAACATCTTTGTGTGTACTTGCCTTTAACTGTTAGCTTAACTTATTTTACAGTCATTAATTGCTGAACGGTTACTTTGATATCCTTTTCGTTGAAATAAATAGGTTCATGACAGTATATACTAGACATACACCTTTGCTGAAACATTTCTTTTCAGTCTTATCTAACAACCGGTTAGTTCATCTGTTCGAACGCCTCTTTGGTTACCTAAGTTTAAACAATCAAGTAGTATCACTAGCCCTGGTGTGTCGCATCGCTTAGTGCATAAATATGCACATGGTTGCCGAGTGACACATATTCTAGCCTCATTCGCTATTGGTTATAACCAAGGTGGGATATTACTATTCAGAATTTGTATTGATAACCTAGTAAACTCGAAGTTGACTTTAATCGCGCAGACAGACACTGATAATATCAATGCAGAACCTCGTACAAAGTACTTCAGGTCGTTATTACACTTCACACCTGCATGCAAAGAACAAGTCGGTGGAAAAAGAATGATATCAAAGTAAATAAGATTGTCTGAAAGTAAAGGAAATTCGAAGATGAAGATCAGTGAAAATATTCAAGCCCTAGAAGACGTTTAAATATCCAATCCTTCTATGCTGTTGTGATTAATTTTCAGTCATTTTGCCAAGGGTCTCCAGTCATTGATCTGTGTTATCTCGAGGACCCCAATCGATTGGCCTGCACGTTCCTATATGTCTGAGTCAAAGACTACATGGAATGATGCCACGTCTCGGTTCGGCTTCCCTGTGCCTTCTCCCAACTCAATCCAACTCCCCTCATCACTGAACATCAAGTTAGGTAGTGTATCGGCATGCACAGTACATGACCAAGCCTTCTTGCTTGCCTTACTTATTACCCTTCACCTAATCTCAGCTCTGCTCATACAGTCATCCCACCTTATGTGAACAGTGCTACGTTTGATCGAATTCCCAAGAAAGTCAAGTGGTTGACACATTCCACCACTTCACTCCTTATCATTAAACTGGAAGTACTAGCATGGTGATTAGTCCTGGAGCATCATGTTACATTTGGTAGGTGCGAAATGCATACCAAACAAACACAGATTTCTACTCAAGACATTCAGAAGACCCTGCATTTTGTCAGTGTCTTCACCTAGCAGGACAAATTCGTCTGCATACTCCAAGTTAACCACATGGCCTCCAGTGAGTAAGTCAGGCCCTATGGACATAACCTTCCCTACCCAAAGTTATATCCTGGTTGTATTATGTTCTCTGAGCTGGATTGTTTAACCGTCAGAGCAAGTCACTAAATCACTCACAGAGAGATATTGACAGCTCACCTCATACTGAAGTTAGTGCTGATGATGTCATCTAGAAAGAGGATGAAAGCTTCACGATTAAACAACCCAGCTCAGAGAGCACAATACAACCAAGACCATCCACCTGAGCTACAAATATTCTCCACTATTTCAAAGTTATATCCGTTAGTACATCTGTGACGAAGTTAAGTGAGAACAGTGACAATGGATATCTCTGCTGGACGCTACTGGTTGTCTTAAATTTTGATGACAACTCTCCATAAGCTTCTACACTGCTGTATGGTCTCAAGTAGAGAGCTTCGATCAGTGCTATATGCTTACTGCATACTTCCTTTACAGTCAGACACTGCCTTAACACCTCACAGTCGATAGAGTCAAATTCGGCCTTTAGGTCAAGAAATATAACAAATGTAGGTCGTTAGTAAGTATGCTTGTATTTCAGGACCTGTTCAAGGATGAAAATTTGATTGATGCACCGTCGCCGAGATTTAAAACGTCCCTAGTTTTCTTGAGTTTTGTTGTTCTTGAACTCTAGTTGGACGTTGAATAACTTTGAACACCAGGATCTTGTGCAAGATACTCAATAATGGTTGTTACAAGAAGATATCTCTTTTTTTATATAAACTGAAATGATTAATGATGTAAACTAGTCTAAGGTGACTGCCTTCAAAACTGTATAACTCAACAAAAATGTTTGATAAAAGCATAAAATCATTGAGTTACTTATCAAGCATTTCATCTTACTTCTGGAATGTGATTAAAGTAAGTTTGTTACACTAGACTTTGTTTTTTTTTTTATCTTACTTTTGTTTTTGTAGTAAATTTAGTTGTGGAGTACATTACTAGGTGTGTATATGTATGTTTATCCGAGTACGTTTCTAAAATTGACATTTTTTGTTGTTACATTTTTTTAACAGCTTCATTGGATGGTTACGAAGGTAGTACACGTGTTTTGTTATGTTTTTTCGTTTTGTTTCTCACTTGTTTTAACCTTGTGCCACCTGTCTGTGTATTTCTGTTCATCTTTATGTTATTAAGAGTGAGGCGGTCAGTAGCGACACACACTTTTTTTTTCTTTTTTTCATGCCTATTTTTTGTCATAGTTTTGTGTTGCTTGTGTGTACTCGCGTGTTTTGTGTGTGTGTGTGTGTGCAGTTTTTATGCTCATCTGAATTTCTTTCGTTAACTTGTGTGATTGGGTATTGATTAAAGTTCCAAAGAAATCCATTTCTCATCAGATCTCGAAATAACTACCTGTTGGTCACCGACCTGGTGCTCTTCGTATTGAGCTTTGAAAACCGGCTACTGATTGATTAGCTGTCAGATTTACTTCAATCGTGGAGATTCTTATTTGACTGACATGTAAATGAGTGATTCGTTAGTGTTTGTTCCTCATCGTCGGTCAAATAGAACGATTGGATGATCAATTTGCAAATGATTTACAAATTTCATGGTCCATGTTGATATTTCCCACAGTTGAGTAGTTTTACAACTGTCCAACTGTGGTGTTAACAAGGTTTCCACCGGAAACCAGCCACTCAGTTGAAATTACAAGGTGTGATCTCTGACACAGAAGTGTCATGCAATAGCGAAAGATACTACTACTGAACAATTCGGGTAGTTCGAAATCACCTAGACTGATCTGTAATATTTCGCCAGCCAGATCAGAGTGCTCTAAACACCGGACGAACGTTCCCCTCGAAATACTACACATCAACCTAAGTGGTTTCTAACTACTCAAGTTGTTCAGTAGTTGTATTTTTATCTAGTTCATGACACTTTTGTACCAAAGGTCACATATTGTGATCTTGACTGCATGGTCAATTTCCAACGGAAACGCTGTTGACACCATAGTTGGGCAGTTAACAAACTACTCAGATGTGGCCAATGTCAACATGGACCGCGCAATTTGTAATTTATGCAGAAATCGATATTACAGTAAACAAAGGTCTTTGAGAAGTGGGAGGATAACCGAAAGGTGTTTCATTAAGTTTTGTAAATTGATCGAGAGAGAATACATCTGCATCAATGAAACTGACTTTGAGTCACTATCAGTATCCGGTATGTTGCTGCTTGTACACCTTATACACCATCATCACTGACGTCAATGGTCATTACTACTTCGAACAGACAGTGAGAGAAATGAGTAATGTTGAGTATAATTTTAATTTTCCTCTTTATTTATTTCAATATTTGTAATCTAGAGCACCACATCACACCACATCACATCACACCACACCACATTGAGTCTACACAGCAACGTGTCGGATGCTGGTAGACTGTTGAGTTAGTTATGTCATCACAATTCTCTAACCACTGATTCGAAATATCTTGTAAACCATAACTGGGCAGAACTAAACTTCCCTAAATACAGTAGACCAACAATTTTGAGACTTTATGACTTAGGTTGTATGTTTAGTACCCACCCTGTCGGTTTTCTTCGAACATAATCCTATTTCAACTGAAATGAGATAATGGGGTTAGACGATGGATTAATATGAAGAATGGATGTATTGGTCACTTTGTCCAATACAGGTTCACAATCTCGTCAAGTGTGCTTGACCTCGATATTGTTAATTCTGTGACTGTATAGCATGTGAGTAATGCTGCGAAGACATCTGTGATCAAACACGTTTGAAGTTCTGCTGTTATATACTTTCGATGGCTATTTTCCAACAATCATATAATGGGAGAGGGGGTTGACAGTTCAGAATTTCACTTCGTATCGTTAAACTGGATGTTGGTTGAGATCAGTCTTGAAGTATCATCTTACATTTGACATGTGTATAATATATGCGAAACATAAGATTTCTACTCACAGTGTTCATCTTTTTCGTCCAAAACAACTTTATGACTAATCTACTCCAAGCCAACAAGCAAAACGGTCAAAAAGTGTGATGTTTATATCTCTGCTCTGCCTGGTTGGCGAAATCTACAGATGAGCCAGAATAGTTCCTAACTACTTTAATTGTTCAATAGTAGTATCTTTCAAATGTAATGATGGTTAGACGTTCTATTTGTCATGTTCATCATCCTTTAGTTTTGTTTCATGTCAACTCACTCGACTAATGTTTAGGCCAAAAAGGTTTTTTGATTTCTCAGAATATACTTCATGCATACTGCTGGGAACACGCTAGCACTATATCACAATATGTGAACAATTTGGAATACAATTGTTTCGTTATGCGTTTTCACCTCTTAGCAGGCGTTCATTCAGCATGTTTTCATGAATAATGAGTATTTTTGTCAAAAGGTCACATTTTTCGAAGACATTTGTGCATTAAACTCATTGGCAAGTTGAACAGTTGGCTAAGAGAAGGAGAGTCTAGTCAATCAATTCTGTCATTGTTTTACCCCACCCTATCTTACTCTTGTTATTATTGTCATTCAGTCATTCATTGGGATAGTGACAACAAAAACAACAATGCTTCTTGTTTATATGGTTATGTATATATCATTGTTAGAAATCAAACAGTTCAGCTGATTTATATTGCCATCATTGAGAATGTCTTTCATATGTCTGCTATGCACATAAATCCTTTTTAAGGTCTCTTCAACTCTTTTTTTTTATCCTTTTCGGATTCTAAAAGGAAAGTTAGCTGAATACATGAAATTTGCCTTTACACTCAAATATCTTAATATGTAGTACTGACTTGGTAGTACACTGAGTCACATACTAGGACTCTAACATTTGTCCAATGCTTCAATGTTTCTAGATGTCATTCGACTGACGTCATCCCACGATGAATACAATCTTTAAATCAATCAACCCGCACAAGCCTTCAAACTGAATTACTGTCTATTGTTATTATTGATTATCTATCCCTTGGGTTCCTAATGGAACATAGGGCTTCAGTGCACTCTTTTCTCTGGAATCTTTTGGACCTGGCTCCACGACAGCCCACAAGCTCTCATTTCTTCCTCACACCATACCCTCCATGTCACCCTCACCTGGGACGCCCAACTCGTCGCTTCCCATCAGGGTTCCACTCGAGGGCCTGACCTGGCGCGTGATGTCCCCAGTTGGCCTTCTCAGTGTATGTCCATCTCCACTTCCTTCTGCATATTTATTGAGTGATAGGTTCTTAGTTGGTTCGTTGCGAGCCAGCTAGAATTCCTTGTTGCTTATTCTTACTATTCTAGCAATCCATCTGAGCTTCAGTAACGAGCCAGAGTAGGCGGCAGTTGTTGATGAATGTGTGTAGTTCATTGGAAATCCTTTTCGTAACGGGCCAAGTCTCTGAGCCATGTAGAAGCACTGACTTGACTGGATTGGTGTTGAAAATCTGGATCTTGTTCCACATGCTGAGTGCAGAAGATCTCCACACTGGTTTCAAGCTAATGAACGCCTCTATTGCTTTTCCGATCCTGACTTGTGACATCCTCGTCTGTACCGCCGCCTGTAGTTCAAACAGTGTTGCCTAGATAGGTAAAGGAGGCTACTTCCTTTAAGTTTCTCCTATTGATGGTGATCGGAGCTTGTTGTTGTTGTTGGTTGGGTATCGTCATCATCTCCGTCCTCTCTCTGTTCGCTTGAAGTCCTGTCTTCACTGCCCTGCATCTTCTGTCAACTTGTTAGTTTTCGCCTGTAGATCTTCAAGTTTGTGTGACACTAGACATAAGTCATCAGTGGCGAAATCTAAATCCTCTAGGTTCTTTTCCCGGTCCAGCGTATCCCCCTCTTCTCGTTCCTCACTGTTTGTTGCATGATCCAGTCGACCACAATCAGGAATATCATGGGTGGTAACAGACAGCCTTGTTTTACTCCTGTCTCCACTTCACTTCGAAAGCATCACTGAGCTTCCCATTGTGAATTACTTGGCCTGTGGCGTTTTCATATAGTTGTTGAATGAGATTGGTAAAGGTTTGTGGTATTCCGTAGAGTTGAAACAACTGCTGGTCAAATTACTTGTCGGTCGACGTTGTCAAAGGCGTTTTCAAAGTTGATGAAGTTGAGGTAGAGAATTGACTGCCAATCTTTACTCTGTTCCATGATGATGCGAAGCGTTGCAGTTCAATCCGCATCTGGCCTTTACTTCCTGAATCCAGCCAGCCAGCCTGTTTAGGTCATAGTTTTGACTTCAGCGCATCCTTTAGTCTCTACAGGATAATGCGGCTTAATATTTTGCTTGGGGTGGACAGGAGCGTGATTCCGCGCCAGTCCTTGCAAAGACTTAGGTCGCTCTTCTTCGGGAGTTTGACAAGGTAACCCTTCTTCCCATCGATAGGCAGGTACCTTTCCTTCTTTCCATACCTTCTGAAATAGTGGTGTGGGTATGTCCGCTATTGTCTCTGCGTCTGCCCTCAGTGCTTCTGGTAGGATTCCATCTGGTCCTGCTGCTTTCCCGCATTTCAGCAGCTCTATGGCGTTCAGGACTTCGACTTTCGTCGGAGGGCTTGTGATCACTTGTAGTTCTGTGGCTGCAGGTGGTATTTCTAGACGAAGTGCAGGTAGTTGTGGTGGTGGTGGTCGATTCAAGAGCTTCTTGAAGTGGTCAGCCCATCGTTTCCTATGTTTCTCTTCTTTGCTAATTAAATTTTCTTCATCACCTTTTATTGGTTTCGTCTGCGTTGATCTCTTCCCAGACAGCGAGTAACCTGGTTATTTGATACAATGTTGTCAGGTCTCTCTTACCTGCAGCCTGTTCTGCTTCACTTGCCAGTGTTTCGTAAAAGTGTCTTTTGTCTTTGCGTGTACTCTTCTTGACTTCTTTGTCCAGCATTTTATACATTGTGCTCAGTTCCTGTTGTCGTTGTGCATCCTTGCACTGGTTTATCTTCTGTTTCATCACCCTCCTCTCCCTACTCTATCAGCTTCCATGTGTCTGTCGAGATCCATTCCTTGTCTTTTTTCTTTTTACTTCCTAATACGGTTATGCAGGTTTCTTCCCACATCTCCTTCAAAGAGTTCCAGTGTTCGTCCACACAGGTTTCTTCA